TCGACATTCCTTGAATGCCGCACATTACTTACAATTATTAGAAATTCAAGTCAGTGAATTTATGCACGAACTTCCGTTACAAAAACGTATTAAAATTTGATTCCAACAAGACGGTGCCTCCATTCATAGTTCAGTAAACGTTAGAGTACTCCTTGAAAAATATTTTTAATGGAAAGGTGATNGTCGCTATAAGCTACTCCCTACGTCCAATGTGTCAGAGCCAACTTCGACCACGTTTTTATTTGAACGCCCGTTATTAAACTCTATTGTGCAAAGACAATAAATTTTCTCCATAATGAACATGAACGACATGGATTCTATTATAGTTATCTAAAGTTTCCATTCTTGTTGTTTCAGGTGATAATTCTCCAGATAAGGACAACGAATGAATATGAAAATTATTAAATAATGGTGTTTTTGCTTTTTTTCGGGTAAATACAATTATTGTTCCAAATATGTTTCCTTTTATCAAAACCTTCTATCTTCCCCTTGAATTAAGAGTAGTACCTACGATTTAATTTGAACTAGGAAGACCATTGACCATATGTACGTACATCTTCGTTGTTCTCGGACTAGGTTAAGTGGGGGAAGGTTCGTTTGATTCTTGTGTGTCTACTTAATTTGGAACCATATGGACTACTTTTTTATTATTGGTTTTATGAAAAAAAGTTATTCTTCATAAAAAGTTCTGCATGGTCTAAAATCTGAAATGCAACCTTCAGTTATCAAAATTTCCCAGTCTTATACGAGGTATATAAAAAATTATTAATTTTGCTCAAGATACCTTTATTTTTGACAATACAGAAAAATGTTATAGAGAAAAGTTATTTTGAATTAAAAGTTATTTTCAAATATGCAATTACAGCCATTAGCATTAAGATTCAGATTTTGTGATTATTTACTAATTATTCCGTATGGCTTGATACAATTACAATTTAACGTAATCTAGGATGCACTGACATGAAATATTAATATTAAATAAATTGACCAGTGGAAGTATTGAAAATAATTTTAAGCATAAACGCCGAAAACGGGTTGCCAATGAAGACACTGAATTTGAAGTGATGCTTTCTATCGTAGAAGAACCAAAAATGTCATTGCGCAAAAGGGCCTCTCGAATCAAAAATACTGCAGTAAGTAAAGATACAGTTGCAAATATTTTAAAAAGAAATAGGTATCGTCCATATAAACTGCAATTCGTACATACATTACAACCAAGGGATTACGATAGACGATTTGAATTCTGCGCTCTGATCCAAGAAAAGTTTTTACAAAAAGTATATTTTTTTCCAATGAGGCAACATTTTCTTCCAACGGAACCGTCTCATCACAAAATTGTCGCTGGTGGTCTGACAGTAATCCAAACTTTGTAATAAAGAGTCGTAACCAATATTCGTTTAAAACGAACGTATGGTGTGGTATGTACAAAAATAAATTAATTGGACCAATTTTTTTTCGACATTCCTTGAATGCCGCACATTACTTACAATTATTAGAAATTCAAGTCAGTGAATTTATGCACGAACTTCCGTTACAAAAACGTATTAAAATTTGATTCCAACAAGACGGTGCCTCCATTCATAGTTCAGTAAACGTTAGAGTACTCCTTGAAAAATATTTTTAATGGAAAGGTGATTCATAGATATTCAGAGATTTCTTGGCCTCCCGGGTCCCCTGATTTAACTCCCCTTGACTTTTTTTATGGGGTTACTTAAAACAGCAGGTTTATCAGCAAGGACCATTTGATAATGTAAACCATTTGGAGAGGATTATTTCTGAAGATTGACAAAATATTACTCCAAATATGATTCTGAAAGTATTACAGGAGTTTGGCAAAAGAACAATTAAATGTTTGCAAAGAGAAGGTGGATATGTCGAGGCTTTAGTAGAATGAATTAAAATTTAATTATGTTTGTTTCTGTATAAATACGTATGATGTTTGTTTACTAAACATTCTTTGTATGGATTTTGCTATTTCTAAAATAAATAATTATTATGCATTCATTACGTATTTAAATTGCAAGGTTGTTCATAAACATTAACAAATGGAAAGGTTATCATATTTTTAACAGATAAGAGAGATAAATACAAATAATTTATAATGTAAAACGTAAATAATCACAAAACCTGAATCTTCATGCTAAGTGGCTGTAATTGCATATCTGAAAATAACTTTTAATTCAAAATAACTTTTATTTATAACATTCATCGGTATTGTCAAAAATAAAGGTACTCTACTCTTGAGCAAAATTCATAACTTCTGGTATACCTCGTATATGACTGGGTAATTTTGATAACTGAAGGTTGCATTGTAGATTTTAGACCATGCAGACCTTTTTATGAAGAATAACTTTTTTTCATAAAACCAATAATAAAAAAGTTTTCCATATGGTTCCAACTTAAGCAGACACACTGTATATGGACCTCACTCACGTTTGACAATTCCTTAAATGTAACCTGGACATACCAGGTAATCATAAAATAATTGATTTTAGAGGAGTATGAAGTTGATAGTAGGGCACCAGGGCGCAGTTAGAATAACATTTTCAACTTTTTTAGTGGAAAGTTAAGAAATGCCATTTTTTCAACACGATGAACACGACGTTATGTATTGTCCAGACTTTAGAGTTATTATACGTATTTGTAGGAAATTTTGTCTAGTTTAATTTGGTATATCATAGTTTACATACACTCGAGACCTTCGAGCTCTCGTATCTGTTGTCTGTCAACAAGTTTTTGAAACACTATCAATTTTTTAAAATTTTTTCCTTAATCTTGCGATATGCAATTCACTTAAAAGTATAAAACTGAAGACGTTTAAGTTTATCAATATTAATTATATCTAGGCTGACATTACAACAATTTGTACAATTTCATCTCTTAGATTATTAAAATTGATTTAAATAAGTCATTATTTATTAACAAGCATTTTTGTTAACAACGCCTAATGTAAATCTAATGTATTTATATAAAAATTTATTTTATCTGCTCCCACTATAGTAAATAGACTATTAATATAGGTATTGTTTTTAAGGAGGTAAGTGGATTTTACTGTAGAAGTGGAAGTTGTTATGAACAACGGGAGGTAAGTAAGGTAACTTTCCTCCCTAGGGAAACAAGCGATTTCGATTTATAAATGCATCTGGATAATTATTCCCCTCGCGTTTACTAATTGTCACAATTTTCTCAAAATGATTTGACCTCTCTATTTCAGTCAACTTAGGCTCAATATTATCTGACTGATCCATTAAAACAGCATGATGCGATGTACTACTAGAATCAAAGTGTCATTGTACAGAATCCTGTTGGCTATTTCACTTTTATTACTTAAACTGTCAGCAACATAACTTTCTACAATTGTGGCTGATTTCCCCCCACCATGTCTCTTGATTGCTAATACATCAACTCCTGTATTAGCCAGTAACGTTGCCGATGTTCTGCGGAATGAATGGTCTGTATATGTTTCAGGATGTTCTAGTTTCAAAAACTGTGCAATCTTATTAGGAATCACAGAAAGGGTATTCATCTACCTGCTTGATAGCTCATATAAAAGCGTGAAAATTCAGTTTTAATTTCCAATCTAATCTTTATATATTTCTTGAGAATTTCTAGGTGAGAAACAGAACCCAGACGAGAAGTAATTGCAAACGTACGTGACATACCATTTTTAGAATCTGGATTTGTAACTACAACAATGTCATCGAAATTTTTGCAATTGACGTTGTCTAAAGTAAGTTTGCAGAACGGCATGCTCCTGCAATGCCTAAGACCGTCACTACCTTCATTAGCAAAGATGTGATATCGGGTACCTGAAGGAGAAAATCGTTGACTTGTTCTCTTGTAAAAACGTTTGACTTTTTAGGTGTACAGCCGTCATTCTTACGTTTCAGAAATGCTCTCAGCTTGGGGTATTTTGATATATCCACATTCTCCTCTATGAAAATGACTTAAAATTGACTTAATCATTGAGTATTCACTCCAAAAACCAGCTAGCAGTGACATTTCAAAAACACCAGTATCTTTGTTCAGTAGCGCACTTTCGACTTCTCGGACAATAAAAATTCGCAGGCAGGCACTTTCTATTTCTCTCATTTAGAAATAATAATTCAAAACCAGCAAAATTGTAACATTTATGTAGCTTTGTTTAGAAACACCTTAAAAACGACAAAATCCAAACAACCAAGGCGACTTTGTAAGATTTCAAATAATGTCAAAATGAATTGATTAAGAAATGACAAAAAAAAAAAAACCAAACCTTAATTCAAGAAACATAAAGAACTATAGGAGCAGAGAAAATGTTATACACCACGCAGCAGTTAAGTATAATTTACCAGTCTCGGGCGCAAAATTGTCCTCAACTGGTAAATAATACTTACCTCCTTTAAGGTGTAAGTAAAACAAAAAGATTCTGCAGTATGTAATTATATATTTTATTATTCTGTAGTCGTTGTTAAAGAGGAAAATTTTTAATATAAATATACATACCACTCGCATTATACTTAATTATAATATAATTGTTTTATTTTGTTAGTAGTAACTTTTATTGCTACTGAATATTTATAATATCCTGTTATTGAAATTGGAAATTGGCTTAATAATAATATGTATACTACATTTTATTATAATCAGTTATAATTATAAGGCTGAAAATTCTTCTTCATAAAAGATAATAAAAAATAATCTTGATATAGTAAAGTAACATTCCTTAGCAGATGTTTAAAAAAGCTTTTCGATTTTATTATCAGATTTTATATCCTTATATACACTCATAAACTAATAATGGTTATACCTACGATTCAAAAGGAATGTCTTCCAAAAAAAAAAAAATATTATGTCAATCATTTTGGTGTAACTAAAAAATTATAGATGGCAGTATTTATTCCCAGTTTAACTGGATTTGATTCCCTATACTCATTAGGGAGTCACTTTTATTTTAAATAATAAAAAAAGCTTATAGCTTTATTATACTTAAAAGATAAAATTTAAAAAAATATGCGTACCTCACACAAGTCGACACAGTGACCGAAGTTCCCCTGAGTAGATAGAATCCCCAGTATTCCTTGGTGTCATCCTCCAGAACCAAATGTCTAACCATAGAGAGCGGTTTCTTTTCTGGAGACAACTGTGGTGTGTTGGGGAGCAAGAAGGCATTGAAAGTAGTATTCACCTTCACCAACTGTCTCTGAAAACAAAAATGAAATAATAGAAAAATACCGATTAAGTTTACCTTCAATATGAAAGTAATTTATTTATGTGCCTCATTATTCTGTTACATTTCTGAGCAGAGATTTTATTCTTTTGTTTGCAAACCATGATGTATTTCCAACTAATTTTAGCCTCGTTTGTTATTTGACAAATACTTATTATACATCCTTTACTGGCAATTAAAAAAGTAGCGTCATGCAAAGATGTAAAATTATATTTAAAACGCATATACATAAGTGCACTTTAGGATTATTGTGATTTTCATAACAATTATGATAATAACCATGAGTCAGCAGTAAAAATAAACCACGTGCATAAAATCAAACAAACCAAATGCCCTTCAACGATATTTCCATATATCATTTGTTGCTCACGAAAGAGTTACAAAACCTTATCTATTGCAAAAATAATTAAAAAATGGATGAAGAAGAAGATAAATGCGAAAAGCTCCATTCTTGATTATGATTTTTCAAAAGTGTAATTGTAGAGCAGTAATAAACCATATCATCTTGAGTACACCATTAAAATGACTAAGGCATTTTCCTTTATTGGATATAATAACACTAATAACCATTACCCTGTTTGTATTTGGCTTAGCTTAACATATATATTAACGTCGGTTTTTTATCACTATTCAGTGATAAATGGCTGTAAACATCAATTATTTAATTGAAGTTAAATTTCACTACTGAATATGATTATAATCACGAAAAACATATTGTATTTTACTGCAGTGACACCTCTTGGAAATTGTTATTTCATAAGAAAAACTATTTCGTCACATCTGGTACAGATAAATGAACTGATAACTAAAAAATAGCTTCTTCAGAATTCATTTTAATTTATCTACTCGAGTTCAGTCTACCTTGTTATAAGAAAATATAATATGCTTTTTTAATGAAATGAAACCTCTAGGATATCTCCACCAAATACGCCACCAATATGAAATATAATCTTTTAATAAATCTAAATCACTAAAACAGATTTTGGTGCAAACTAATATATGGGTTAGTTACATCAAAAGGTTGGTAGATAAAAAACAGCAGTCTAAAGAGATTTGGGATTTTTAGGGGATATTTAGTATTTTGTCGTTAAATAATTTAATATGTTTCTAGATAATATAATACAAAAAAACTAGAATAGATTGTCGCATTTCAACTTCCGAGTTTTCAAAATTCACCCCACTTTCCATTCCGGACCAAAAAGGCAAAAAAAAAACGCTCAAAGTTAAAACCGCCGTAGCTGGGGTCAAACATGGCGTCCCAAAGGATGAGCGACGGGAAAATTGAAATTTTACCGATCTTTCCAAACGACACGAGAATTGTCAGCAAAGAATGATATAAATTTCTAAGAAGCCGAAAACCGAAGACATGGAATCCAGTTAGGTTTCAAAGTGCCGAACTAAACCAACTCCCGCAAGAGACACACCCTAAGATCTGCCGCGGCTGTGACCGAACGTCTACCCTGGGAATTTGCAGCTCTTTAAACAGAGATGGAATCCTGCCCAGTGCCTGCCGCACGATCAAAATATTTCAACAATACTGTATGCACATTTCTATAACTAATATACAGGTTGTCCGCGAAATTGTGAGAAATCTCTCGGGTGCAGGTAGAACATGAAAAAATAAGATGACAAATTCCTATAAAATTTTTTCGTACAGGCCCTTCCTACGGAGATATGTGTCCTTGAAGGACGCTCTGGAAATCGGTTTTTCTTGAATAACTTTTAAAGTACTTAATATAATTTAATAAAAATTTTATGTGATGAACACTAGTAAGGACCTCGTAAAATAGTATCTTTGAAACATATTTAGCTTTTTTAGTTCACCAGGGGCGGGCTAAGCTTTACAAATTAATGCCTAAATATAACCCCCTGTAGGATAAAAACTTTAAAATATTAAATCTGGGTAGCTTCAACCTGAGACTAAAAAAAAAGGTACTCTTGTTTATTGTCGATAAAATGAAAAGTTTCATGTTTCATTTTTAATAAAAAGGACCACGATTTCTATTTTTTTTTTCTCGACAACAAAGTGACATCGCTGACATATTGATCCTTTACTTCATTATTAATTTACCGATTTTTGGATTTCGTGGTGAATTTAATTGTGAATTAATTCGAAATATGGAATACACGTTTATTGAGTATGCAGGTATGCATTTCATGTATGGTCTTGCGTCTTGCAATGCTTTAGAAGCAAGAAGGTTATATCACGACAGATTTCCTAATCGTGCTCTGCCAATCCAGAGGATATTTCAGCGAGTTGACCATCGTCTAAGGGAGAATGGTGAGCGATTCCAGTTAATAAGGTAATACATATTATTGATTATTTCTTGAAAATCTAAAAGCATATAAAAAGAGCGTGGCCAATCCAAGGAAGTAATCGAGGTCCGCAACTAGTTGGACAGCCCGACCTTTTATTTGCACGATAGCCCTAACTATCTCGCCAATGGAAAAGCCAATCTTGCTGTTCCACGACAAGATGAACACAAAGATTACATAAATATATATAAAATAAATAAAAAATATGGTATAAAAATTTTGCAAATACGCTGGGAAAAACGTTCATATCAATCATCATCAATAGGGTTTATCAACATTTTAAAGAAAGAAATTACTCAATTAACACAGTTACAGTGCCTGATTTAATAGTGTCTATTTTTTTATTAATTATTTTTCTACCTTCAGTATGAAATTTTTAGTAGGCAAACATTCGAGGGTGGTCTGAAAAGTTTCCGACCTAACAAAGATACAAGACATTTTTTCAGATTTTTTTTTTTATTTTTCGACATAGTCTCCTTGTAACTCTACACACTTCTCCCAGCGATGCTCCCATCTCTGTAACCCGTCCAAATAGTACTTGGCGTTTTTCTCTGCAAAATAATTGTTCACGAAGGTGATTGCCTCTTCATTTGACGAAAATCTCTGTCCTCCGAGCGCAATTTTTAGATGAGGGAACAAAAAGAAGTCGCTTGGGGCTAGATCTGGTGAGTAAGGCGCATGGTCAAGTAGTTCAAACCGTAATTCGTGGATTTTCGCCATGGCAACCGCTGAGGTGTGAGACGGTGCGTTGTTTTGGTGAAACAGGATTTTCTTTTTCTGCAAATGTGGCCGTTTTTCCGCAAGTTCTGCCTTCAGCTTGTCAAGTAATGATGCGTAGTATGCTCCTGTAATGGTTTTTCCTTTTTGAAGATAATCGATTAAAATAACTCCAT